ATGTTGTATAATGTTGCAACAAAGCGGTTGCTGACCGTTGCCGTGCGCCTTGCTACGGCTTCTGGGGCAACGCACAAATACTCATTGGGAGTTGTTGCCGCCAGAAGGCGCTTGACTCGCGCTCGGCTTCCCATTGCTTTTGCGGCCGCGCTTATGTGAGGGCTTTAAAAATAGCCAACAGTCAACTGTGTGTGCGAATCTCGCTGCGGGCCACACGGAAACCGGCAATTGCATTTTGTTAGTCAGCTTTCGGTTGCCCGTAGCCGCCTGCTAATCACTTGCCCCGATTCGGTTGGAGAACCTATATGTATTTCTATATATATATGCAGTATGTACTCTACTTGTAACAACAAATATACACGAGTCGCTGGTGAGTGCGTTTCAAGTGAGTCGCATATCTAAAAAAAAAAGAAACAAGAAAAAACCTACAGCACAAATATTAAACACATTACACATATATGAAATGACTTTTCACAGCAAGTTGTGAACAGTCGGCGTCATCGGCTGTGAGTTCCCTTATCAGCGCCGCGCTCTCCATTGCTCAGCGCTATAAAATGTGGGGCATGTGGGTTAGGCGACGCAGCTGGAATAGCTAATTGAATGGCGAAATTGTATGTGAAATGGCTTACACTGCTATCGATAGCAATGTTATCGGTCGCAAATTTATCGACCAAATGGTTATCGATCACGTGACCCAAGTATAAATAATCTAATGTTCCAATGTAAAATTGTGTACTGTTAAAATTATCGATATAATGTGAATGCATCATCGAAACTGTGCTTTATTAATGTTATCAAACTTTGTGGACTATATATATCGATAATCTATTTGTTTTGTCACTAACAATTTTATTCAACTTCACAATATTTGATGCAATTGTTAATTTCATTCATTGATAACTATTTTGACAAATTTATCGATAAGTTTATGCCGAAGACTGTCACGAAATATTGCCGTTAGGGAAGTCGAAATTTTTATATCATATAATTTTATATAAAAGCAAACAAAAATATAGATAACAAAAATTTGATTAATGATCGTTGGTAAATCGATTTATCAATTAATAAAAATAAAGCAAATTATGATTTATAAATAGCTGAAGCTCTGAGAGATAAAGTTCCGCTTTATAGTTGCAATTTCATAATAGCTTTAGCTAGAGCTCAGGTTTAACTGAATCTTTAGAGTGTAAGGCTATGCAAATACATCTTTATATATATATACAGACATATATGTGTGTATGTAGGTATGAGGCTGCTTTGTAATTGTTGCCGGTTAATTGTTCTCGCATGTGGAACAATTTTCGACTCGATTTTAAACAGACGCAGCAGCTGTAGCTTTTTATATTTTCTTTTTTTGTGTTGTTTTGTTGGAACAGCTTACATAAATACGAATGAATATGAATACGAGAACGAATATGAATATGAATATGTGAATGCAAATATTTAGTGAGTGTGTGTTAACAGCTATAAAAATTAACAGTTTTCGATTTCTGTTTTAGCTGCTTTTTAGCTCTATTTGCCTCTCTTTCTCTCTCTCCGTTTAACCTTCAAAAAATAATAAAATATAAAAATAAAACCAAAAGCAAACAAAAGAAAAGCAAAAAGCAAGCATTACCAAAAAAAATTAATACAAGACTTAAAACTTGTTGAACTTGTTTGGTCTGTTTCTTTTTTGTTTTGTTGTCTTTCATTTTTTTGTTGTATTTAATTTTCTGTGGTCTCTAAAGCAATTTGCATCATTTCGTTTCGTTTTTTCTTTATATTTGTTGTTGGCTTGCTGCGGCCGCCGGCTAATGCATTAATCTGCTTTTAATCGCAATCTCAATTAGCAATTAATTAATATCCTTATGTAATGTAAATGGCTATGTTTAGCCTGGAGGTTGTTTGTAGGTCATCGGATGCTGGTGTCATCGAGTCATCGATATCATTTGTCGATTATTCTTGGCCCACATTCATAAAATCTCGCACGCTACTTAGTTGTAGGCAGGTTTATTTTTGTAAGCGTTTTCCACACACACACAGACGGCCCATAAATTTCACTCTGTATCCAGAACTGCGTCAATGACATGCCCAGCATTAGCTGTGTATCTATATATCTGAATCCGTAACCATATCTATATATACATGCATATATGTAGAGAGAGATATTTATTCTATTCGATGCTCAACACGTCCGCTTCGCTGGTTCTATTTGTGTGGGCGCTGCCTGGCGTTGTTTAAAAGTTTCTCCCCACATATACATATTAATACTTGTATGTTTTTCACTTTTTAGTTAGACTAGAATCGGATGTACAGGAATTATTTAAATACATTAACCCACACACTCAAATAAATCAGCCCATAAATTAAATTAGAATTTGTACTCAAGACTTTTTCTATTCATTATTTTGGATACAAACTTGAAATACGGAAAAACAATTTGCAGCTGACATCACGCAGACATCAGACATTTGTGTACATATATAAATATATATATATTTTATACTTTGGCCAACAAAGTTTTATAAAATTATAAATGCGTTTTTTTCGCTTTTGTTTTTGGTTTTTATCTTGACAACAAAAGAACCATAGATAATGTACTGCAAATGTATTGGCATTTATATCACTGGATGCGTGTGTGTGTATTTGAATGGCACACACAAATAAAAAATTGATATCTCTTGTGAAAGACCAGATAGCGATATATACGTATGTGTATGGCATTTGGTAGCTAACCAAAAACTGTTTTTAGCTATTGCACATGTTGTTCAGGGCTGTGCGTGGGCAAATCATAAATATTTGAATGGAAATTATATTATGTAGAATATAGCAAGAAGTTTTATTAAGGAAACGATTCTATAACAAATTTTAAAATAAATACAAATTCGCTAAAGTCTAGAAAATATATTGTTTACATGATACGAATTTTTTTCTTAAGCATAAAAATATTGCAGCTAAATGATGACTCGATCAATTCGATCGACTCAAGAAATTGCTTAATTCTTTATTATAAATAATTCAGATATAATTTAAGCACATCTAAGAAAGATTTGTCATAGTTTAAAACATTTATCTACTGTCAGCTCGTAGAAAGAAAAGCTCAAATATAAAAAAACTTCATATCAATTAAATTTATTTTAAGACTTTTATCAGGGCCAGTTTATTAGTTTATTTTAAATATATCATTTTTATAAGCAATCTCTTTTTTTAAATATTTGCTTTCAATATAGAATAGAGCTAAAATGTTGATTAACAGGAATTTGAATGAAATATTTTGATTTTGTTGCACTAGGCAGTAGATTAGATAAGATTGCTAAAAGGAAAAATAACAAAAACGAAATTGAAGTACCAAAACCAGAGAGAGAAAACAATCAAACAAGACAATAAAACAGACGACGGCAAATGAAATGTTTGCGTGGCGTCATCGATGATTGAATCAGTTTGAACTTTTTGCTAATTTTTGAGTAATAATAAATACATATATATATAAATATATACATTTATTTACATATTTATATATGAATGACAATTGCACCGTTAACGTTTATTCAACATTTTTTACAGTCATTATTTATAGAAATTTTGCAATACCTTTTAACGATTATATATGTATATATATACGTATAATAACAATATAATATATATATATGAAATACAATTCGAGCGGTAAGTGCGTTTAATTTTTTATTCGCTTTTGCTAAGGATGCGTAGTAAGCACGTTAAAAAAAAACAAAAAAAGAAGCCAACGAATCTATAGAGATAATGCCAAGCCATATATTAAATATTTTATATCTATCGTCATAGATAATAATTGCTCTACTTGCAAGTAGACAAGTCTCTGTCTCTCTCTCTCTCTCGCTCTCTATGTTGCTTTTGCTATCAATGATATAAGAAAATATAATTTTTAGTTAGTATATTTATCATTTTATTTCTTTCTTTATATAAGTGCAACCAAAAAAAAATGCCGCTGGGAAGTAAAAAATGCTGCCAAATATAAACTTTACTATATATAACTATGATAATTTCTTGTACAATGAAACAACTTGGCGCACTTTATTTGTAGTTTGTCAATGTGCATTGCTGCTGTTATGGGCCGTGCTTTTGGTTTGGTTTTTTTTTTCATTTTTTTAGCTCGCTGTACAATAGAGCGCAACGGGTGTTTGAGATATAGAAAAAGTAAAAAAAAAAGAAAACCAAAATAAAAGAAAATTTGTGGCAACTGCTGCCTGTTGCCTGCCTGGCATATTTGGCTGTTGCTGCTCACCACGCTCTATATCTAGACATATAATTATACCATATTTATTGCCACTTGAAAATCCACTGAATTACACAATAAATCAATCATACAAGCAAAATTAGTAAAAATTCATAAAATAAAAAATAATACAAATTGCTAATATTAAAAAATTAAAATTAAATTAAATTCACTTAAAAAGTAATTTATAAAAAAAATTCAAAATTTAAAAAAAATATTCATGATTTTTAAAAGTATTTTGAATTGAATTTTAAAAAAAATTAATAAAAAGAAGTGTTTTAAAGTCAAATTTAGAAATTTATAAAAGCCCTTAATAAATTATATAAAAATAATTTAAAATACTAGCAGTATTTTTTTATTTAAATAATACTAAAAATAATTTATTAAAAATGAAAACTGAGTTCAGCACTGAACTTTGTCTAGCAACTAATTTATGTAGTAAAATATGATATGAATTTCTGGAATGCATCTTACACTCATTCAGCTCATTGCATCCCCATATTTAAATAAAAAAATAAACAACTAACAAAAGCTCCAAATATGCGCGCGCTACTAACAACAAATTCAAAGAACCATCGCATACACACACACACACACACTCGCACTCGCACACACATGCAAAACACAATTAAATCTGTCCTTCTGTCTGTCTCTCTCTCTCATGCTCTCTCTGTCTCTCGTCAGTTTTGAACTATGCAAATGCAGCATTAACCCAAATGTTCGGTATAAGCCTAAACGACTATTTCTCTTCTTATTCTCATTTCAGATAATGTAAAATCAGCGTATGCTCAATAAAGAAAAGCTTACACAAAAAAAGCAAAACAAAATTAAATATATAAAAAAACTGCTAAACTTACAAACAATATTCAAGTCAAAGCGTATTTATATATAAACGTTTGTTCGAATCAAAATTAAATTATATACAACTCTTAGCCACGATAGGCTTCACGTACCCTAAGCTTTTAGCTATTCCCAAGCTTTGTAAACCATAAAAAAAATCAAAAAAAAAAGCAAAACAAGAACTCATGCAAAAACGCTAAACATCTATGCTAAATATATATATGTATACCTTATATATATAGGTGCTGATCTGTGCTAAGAGCTGTCTATCATAAAAGAAAAAGAAACCCGAAAAACTCTTATTGAAAGCCAACGTCATAAAGTAAAACGCGCAACATTTCTAGTCGCCAGCTAAGCTATCTATAAAATCCCCCAGCTAAAACAAAACTATATATATAGATATATATATTAAATATACTGAAGAATTGCTGCTGCGATGGCCAACGTTGTCAATATGAACAGCCTGCTCAATGGCAAGGACTCACGCTGGCTGCAGCTGGAAGTCTGCCGCGAATTTCAGCGCAACAAGTGTTCGCGCCAGGACACGGAGTGCAAGTTCGCCCATCCGCCGGCCAATGTTGAGGTGCAGAACGGCAAGGTTACCGCTTGCTATGACAGTATCAAGGTCAGTATAGAAAACCAACCCAACGCATATAATTATCTAGATATACATATAGAGTGCCAATGCTCCAGACCACATGAAAACCCCATTAACACTCTGCTTCAATCGTGTATCGTGTATGGAATGTAGCTTGTAAGCTTTTATTATTTACTTTAATACATCATGGCTTCAGTACTCTACCCCAACAACAACGAGCCATACATTCTACCTGCCCCCTCTCTCCCACCCACCCAAAAAAACACCAACTGCAGTCCCAAATAATGGATCTTGTCGCGCTTTTGTTGTTTGTGCTTATGTGCTTATATTTTGTTTCTCTCTTTTTTTGGTATATATACTCTGTGCTTATCTATAGTTAGTGGCTGTCTCTCTCTCTCACTCTCTGTCTGTCATACTCTCTTGCTGTCTCTCTCTCTGTCGTTGCCGCTGAATTGTGCGCTTCTGAGCCTAGGCTAGAGAGAGCTTGCGCCTTACCCTTAGGCCCCGGCGGCAGCTTTTGTCTCTGCGCTTGTCTTTGTGCCTGCGAATGTGGTGCCTGTGCTTGACCAAGTCCTCGCTAAGCTATAGAGAGATTACCAGAGACCGTAAAGCAATAGTCAAATAAAACATTGAAGTGAAAGCTTTAGAAACGATATCAACATAGATCACAAAAAGTGCAAAAAGTGCTTAAACGAAATTGAAATAATTGAAATAACTAACAAATTTGAATGTTTAGGCGACGCAACTTTTAGAGATGGATAACTGCAAGGTAAACATAATAAATATTATTAAATATCTATAATCACTTTAATTATTATCTTTGATCTTTTACTTAGAGTTAAGATTAACAAAATCATTTCAGCTTTTTGTTTTTTTTAACAGTTGCCAACAAAGTTGAGTCTATTGATCGAAGTTCACGTTGTTTGCCCCACGCTGTTTCCGAGCTCTTTGACATTGTCCAGCGCAAAATCAAAGCATATTTTCCTGCTTTCCCTTTTCTACCGAACAATATTGAATTTTCGCTTGTGAAACGCGAAAAATTAGCTCCGAAAAAGATTGGAAAAGCAAATGCACAAAAACAAAAGCGTCAAAGCGGCAAAAGTTTTTTCCTCTTACTCTTTTTGCTCTTTTTTTTTGGCTCGGCATTTTTCAGCACTTTTTTCGCTCAGCTTGACGTCCACAACAATAACAACAACAAGAAGGAGAATAAGAGCAAGAACAACAGGCTGGAAAACAAAAGGGCGACAATACCTTGACAATGTCGTGGGCTATGCGGAAAAATTAAGTTGCCCGGTTTGTTGTTGTTTGCTTTATTAAGCTTTCTCTCTCGCACACAGTCTCGTCCTCTCTCCGTCGGCTTTTATCTGTGTGTGTTTGTGACAACAATGTTGGCAACACAACAACAACAACAACAACAACTATGTAAAATGGCAACATAAAGTAAAGTATTTTATATATAGTACTTGCTTAATGCTGACAAAATGCCGCCTCGAACATCATCATCAGCATTATAATGCTCATCATCATCATCGTCATCAAATTTGTGACAGCATAAAAAATTACGTTTTCTTTTTTTGGGAACATTTTCGTAGTCGCCTTTTCGGGCGTCAGCCATTTGCCACTTGTTTGGTTAACGGCTGCGGCGGCCGCTTTTGTTATTTTAACAAAACCCCAAAGCGTGGAGTGGAGCCTTAAAGTTAGCCAGAACCCAGACCCGCTGGCCGCCTGCACCACCTACACCTAAACTGGCCACGCTCGACCCGCACTCGTCTATGCCGCGCTGAGTGTGCAAACAATAGTTAAAACTGATGTTTGTAAGTAGCTCGTTGTTGTCCTGGTCTGCGTTGTTGTTGTTGTTGCTGGGCTGCTCTTTTGTTTTTGTACTTTTCACGCCTGTCCTCACGAGCAGCGTTCCTAATTGAGCCACTGCCACAGTTGAGGCTGCACTCCAAAAAAAAAAATTACTCCTTGCTTCCGCCTCCTCCACTTGTCTTGCCACTTTGATGGCTGTTTGTTCTGATGAACGCTTTAATAAAAGCATTTCCGGTTGCTTGAAAATTATTATGTTACAATAGGTTCTTAACTTTAAAATACATTCTCGGAATTTGACAACAATTGAAATTTGAATAATTCTATAATTCGCATAAATCTCTTTCACTTCTGGCTTTGATTTGTTCAGATGTCTAAATATTTCATATGCAAATCTTATGCCAAAACACATTTACCTTCTTATATTTAATCTTTTTTGTTTCTTAAGAAACTCTCAGTCTCTATACTATAATTATTATGTTTAAAAAATTTGACTAAGCTCATCTCCGCCTATCCTTGAAATCTCTTAAAGCTTCTGGCAATTACTTGGCTCAGGCCACAGCTGGGCCGACTGATAAGCTACTCCTGATACCATGGCCCAAAAAAGAAAAAAAAATGAGTCAGCTCTCGGGCTGTAACAGCTGCGAGCTCAAAATGCGAAAGCGAAAGGACACACACACACATACATATATATGTTATGTTTGTATATGGCAGAGTTGTCCGTTTGCCCCATGGGGTTTAAGTTTTTGCCCGCTAGGCAGCTGGCAAATAAAGCTCAGACATTCATTGCCCACAAATTAATTGTGTTATCCTATTAATTAACTATGCAGTAAAGTTGCCGAGCAATTTGGTTCGCTGAGTGAGTTTTTCTGCCCAGCCGCATGACATGCACGAGAGTTTTCTTCTCGCATTTCCCCCTTTTTGTATACATTCGCAGGCTTTGAGTGTTGTAATTGTAGCTGAGTGTGTTTGTACTCATTTTCACCTCTTTTTTCCCCAGAGTGTGTGTGTGTGTGCTTGACACACAAAACGGGAGGCATGCGGCATGATGAGTTTAAATGTATAACGAACTTAAACGTGCAAGTAACCAGCATATAATGGCTGCCAACCAGTTTAAGGACAAGAGGCCTACCTGTGTGTGTGTATGTGTGTGTGTGGGGGCGACAACATTTTCCATGTGGCCACGACACTAATTTATAGTTAAGTTGCCGCATTGTACAGTTTCTAATGGCGTTCGCTTGTGTCGGAAGCGAGCGAGTGCGCTGCCTGACAGGAAGAAGAAGAAGAAGAAAAACTCAAGCAAAGTTCTTTTCAATAAAATATAAGTCGTAAACTAGGTCAATGGCAGATTGTTATAATGCAGCTGGAATAATTCTCTTGATGCATTTATGAAAATGTATTTTCGCCTAATTAAAGCTGGAAAATAATAGAAAATCCGAAGTTCATGCTAAAGCAATTTACTTTTCTGATTTAGCCGGAATTATACGTAGCAGCTCTGCTTAAAATACTTGTGGGCTCTGTGCTTATCCCATTTGGTCGCACAGTTAAGTTGGCCCTTTTACAAATTGGCATCATTTCACTGTTAATTTCCTCTCAATTTAATTTGACCACAATGAGCCAGCTGAAAATGGCACACACAACTTTAAGAGAGCGAAAGGGGAATGGGTATGGGTCGGTCGCCTGTTCTCAAGGAGTAAAAATCGCCATGGCCACAACATAAAACATTTTCCGGTTTATAATTTTCTTGTCACAACAATTTTCACGCCATGCTCGGCCGCCGGCCACCTCGTCGTCGTCGTCGTCCTGCTGCTGCTGCTGCGTGCCGTTGGCTGGTTTTGGTGCCACTTTATCCGGCTGGCTTGGTCGCATTTTGCGTCCTTTCGCCTTTCGCGCGCTTTTGCTACTTAACCAACTGTAAAGCTCTCGGCCATATTGTGTGGCACCTTATTTTTCTATTATATTTTCAACACTGGCTGCTGTTGCTGCAACATATTTCCATCCCCTGCCCCTGCTCCTGCTCCAGCTCCTCCTCTAGGCGGGCAACAAAAGTCAAGTTTCTATGCCATGCAAATTATGAGCTGGGGCAGAAAAAAAATATAAAATAAAATAAATAAAAAAATAATAAGAAAATAAAAAAATAAAAGAAGAATATGGCGCGCCACAAAAGAAAATGAAAATGGCAACTCTTCCGTTCGGGCTGGTGGTTCGGTGGGTCCGGTGGGTCGTTGGGCTGTGCCCAGAAAGTGAAGCCCAACAATATGCGCGCCACTTTGAAGTAATTTTGCTTTAGTTTTTGCGACGTTGTTTATTTCTATTCCATTTTGCAGTTGACGCTCGAATTTCCGAGCGCCTGCAGCGCCTGTCACTCGGAAATACTTTGGTAATTAAATTTTAAAGACAACAGGAACCGACTTTTGGGTCTTGTTCTCGATCTCTCGGTCGCTGGCTGACCTGCTGAAATTCAATGTCATCCAATTATTTTTAATTATATGTTTGTATTCTCGGCTTATTCCATAGTTTGCTTTGGGCCAAAGCAATTTGCCATTAAACTAGAATAGCATTGAGATCGATAATAAGCGAAGACCCAGCACAAAAGCCATGCGAAATTCATGATATTTATCGTAAAAATAAACAAACGCGCCCCAAACAAAGAAGACCCCAACTAAAAAGCGAAGAAAAGAAGCGACGAAGAGACAATATTCAATTTGAATAAAAAACCTGCCAATGGGAGAGCTCTCAACTTGCCTCAATAGTTTGCATAAAGTGTGCGGCAGTAAAGCCAAGCTGAATGAAATGAAATGATTGAAAAAAAGCAACTGAAAACTTTGTGCGGCTGTCATTCAAACCAAAAGAAATTGCAAACTAAAACATAATTGCAGTCATAATAGAAATGCGATTTCGAAACTGTATTGAGAGCTATCAATGTCCTCATTGAATGCTGTGAAAAAAAATTAAACTCGAATTCAAATACAAATTGCATAGCCTTGACATGGTGCAAAAAACTTACTTTATAATTTCATAGAATGTTTAATAAGATTTTGGTTAGAAAATAATGAAAGCTCGATTAAAGTGCTTCGATATTTATAACTACAATTAAAATTAGAGAAATAATATAAAATAAAAAACAAATGGAAATTCAAGTATTTTCAAATGTCATAGCAGCGAGCTTTTGTGGGCTGCGCAACTTTGCGCAATATCAAGCAGCTTTTGCTTGGCAGAAACGTTTCTGCTTTTGCTATTTATACTAATTATAGATTAACTTAGTAACTCAAACTTTTGGTTTGGCTGCAATGCGATATAATTCCGGACATAGCCGCCACCTCTGAAGCTCGGCGCAAATCTGTGTTTAAATGGCCTGCACACCCACACACAGTGCGGGCGAGGAAGAGAGACAGCGGAGACGCCCGCTAATTTGTTATGCCTTACACACGTTGCACTTTGAAATTCCGCAACAAACTTCAAGTCAATAACTCAGCAGCTGGTTGTCAGGAGGCGCCCGCAGGAGTTGCAGGCACTTAATGCATTATGCAGCAGCAAGTTGTGGCATGTCCTTGCGCAGCAAATGTAAGTACTATGCGAGGCGAGGAATGGCGATGGCAATGGGAGTGGAAATGGCACACACATGTGCAGTCTGTGCAGTCATTTCGCAGTTGCTGAAACCTACACAATTCATTCGTCCTGGCTGCTTCCGGAGTCCTGCGACCGGAACGTGACTGCTGCAGCAGCAGCAGCAGCAGTAGCGACAGCGACAGCAGCGGCAAATCGAGCGGGCATGGCATGTCTTAAATAAAATAAATGGCACATTATCAATATAAACAAGAGGAGGACGTCGAGTACGCGAGCTGCAAGCGTAAAGTTGTTAAGTTACTTAAGCCAACAAATGAAGCAACAGACACGGGTATGAGTGGAGCGGGCTGTACGACAAGCTAAACACAGTCACGAGCCTGACAAATTGCCGTC